AATGACTGGATTCCAATTCATGGGCAGGATTATGCTAATTGTGAATGAGCCTGCACACACGTCTTATTTGCAAATAACAGTAATTAATTAACATACTATTAAATCAGAGGTTTATGAAGCATTTATGAAAGACTTCATCCCAGAGGAATTCCAGCACTTCCTGTTTCTCAGACATTGAAAGTCCAGTCTAGCAAATCCTAAACTAGAAGTGGTGAAAACATTTCATGAAATGTCGAGCACTTATGAAGTTAAAAAGACCCTCAACACACTGCAAAACCACTTCTTCAGTATTTTGTGAGATGTGCTGATCTACATCTAGCAAAGCAAGAAAAACAATTCTCAAACAAGGCACAAAATTTAAAACACAACACCATTCAAAAGTTTAGAGTCTGCATTTCTTTGATATAAAACACAGTAAAAACAATAGTATTGTGAATATCATTTATAATCTAAATTTTGCTCAAAGCAACCATTACTCTTCAGCGTCACACGATCCTTTAAAAATCATTCTAACATGCTAATTTGATGCTCAAGTATATAATTCATATAATATAATTATCAATATTAAAAGCACTTGTGAAAGTCTTAGTCACTTTTGATAAATTTAATGCATACTTTCTAAAACAAATCAACTTAAATGCATGCTAAAGCAACTTCTAAACTATTTTGTTTCTACTGTACACAGAGACACGCTTGAGTTATGGTGAGACAAAAAACGTGTATTTTACCCCCCCGGAACGCCATTGGACTAGTTTTGGGCTAGTTTTGAGTAGCAATTGGGTGGGTTTTGTTGTGAAAACCTGGCAACCCTGACTTAGATGTATGCTAAAGCAACTAAACTATTTAGTTTCTACTGTACACAGAGGCGCTTGGGTTAAGATGAGACATTAGCATTCAGTGACCTAAAGAACATTACACAACGCTGTTTTGCATGCAAATTGGGAAGGTCTGTTTTGCATGCAAATTCCCAAAGTTTCCTGAAAGTATTGTGAATGTGTGTGTTTGCAGACCTGCGGACGGAGCTGTGTTACCTCACACACGTCGACGAGCGCTGCGGCGCTCCGATCCCGGGCCGGCACCGTGTGGACGCCTGCTGCTGCTCCGTGGGTGTGGCCTGGGGCCCGGAGTGCGACGAGTGTCCGGAGAAGGGAACGCCGGAATACACCCAGCTCTGCCCTCGGCCCGGATTCTCCCACCGCGGAGACTTCATCAACGGCAAACCCTTCCTGAAAGGTGCGCGAGACAGACGGGCCGCTCCTGACCCAATCCGTGGCTGCTTACCACAAACACAACATTTATCCATTGTTTTGATTTCAAATCCAAACATTGTCACTGAAAATGCTTTTTCAGCATTGTGATTGTTTTGTTACACAGTACAGTAATACAATCTTTCATAGACGTATAAATGCATGTGACCCTGGAGCACAAAACCAGTCATAAGGGTCAATTTTTTGAAATTGAGATTTATGCATCATCTGAAAGCTGAATAAATAGCTTTCCATTGATGTATGGTTTGTTAGGATAGGACAATATTTGGCTGAGATACAACTATTTGAAAATCTGGAATCTGAGGGTGCAAAAAAATCTAAATATTGAGAAAATCATCTTTAAAGTTGTTCAAATTAAGTTCTTAGCAATGCATATTACTAATCAAAAATTAAGTTTTGATATATTTATGGTAGGAAATTTACAAAATATCTACAAGGAACATGATCTTTACATAATATCCTAATGATTTTTGGTATAAAAGAAAAATGGATCATTTTGACCCATACAATGTATTGTTGGCTATTGCTACAAATATACCCCAGCGACTTGAGCCTGCTTTTGTGCTCCAGGGTCACATATAGTATAAGCAACACATTATTCAATGCTTTTTACTTTTGCATTTACTTCTTGATTTATATACAGTAGTCAACATTTGAAGTGGATCAAAAAAGTTCATCAAAGTTGTCCTAAGACAAGAACACATTTTGGTTTTAGGTGAAAACTTTGATGAACGGTTTTGATCCACTTCAAATGTTGACTACTGTAATAAGTTGCTCAAGCAAGTGGCAAAACATTTAAACTACTTTTCTTACGTTGTCACAAACATTAAAACTTACGGTAACACTTTATTTTAAGGTGTCCTTATTACACACATTACATGTACTTACTATTATAATAACAATAAATTATGCATAATTACATGAAAGTAACACTAACAATATAGTAAGTACATGTAGATAATTAATATTACTCAGTACTTAAATGAATAATTACACTGTAACAAGGACACCTTAAAGTGTAACCAAACTTACCATCGACAGAAACAGTCAGCTTTACTGCCTTTTCTCTAGCATTTAAATAACCTAGCCAAAAAGCCATAACCTATGTGTTGACTGTGAAACACAGTAGACTTTAATTATATCCATTTATGGTGCAATTACTACATTTCCGTGTCAATCCATGTTCATATTTACAGCAAACAATGCGCTGTCACTTTAATTCACGAAAAAAAACACAAAAACGCTTTAATCCGTTAACATGGGTGTGGAAAAAATACACACCGCATACCTGTCGCTATCCTGACTCATCATCATTCTGTCTCTTTGCAGATATAAACGAGTGTAAGATGATCCACAGCTTGTGCACAAACGGCCGCTGCAGGAACACCATCGGTAGCTTCCGCTGCAGGTGCGACAGCGGCTTCGCTCTGGACTTTGATGAAAGGAACTGCACAGGTGAGTTCAGACGCTGTAAACGAGGTTCAGAGACAGGCATGTGAACGCTAATGAGTCCTGATGTGTCAAGTCAAGTCACCTTTATTTATATAGCGCTTTTAACAAATCAGATTGTCAAAGCAACTTTACAGCATTAAACAGGAAAATAGTGTGTCGATAATGCAGAAGAACAATTGCGAATAGCAAAAATGCATCATAGACAAATGTTTGAAAAACAGCTGGCGACTCTGGTGAGATAGAATTTGCAAGATAATGTATATATAGCAATAATAATAAATTTTTCCAGTACCGATAGCAGAACCATTAACGTCAGAGCTTATCGATACTCCGGTCTTTCATAATTTAGCCCCGGGACCGATTAAATACCGGGTTTCGGTACCCATCCCTAGTGAAAATGAGTATGTTAACCCTGAAATGAGGGAAACTCTGGGTTTTGCGTTTCAGAATGGGAGGTTTGTCAAACCCGAGCAAGCAGGGTAAGTCAAGCCCGTTTCTGAAAGAGAGGTAACTTATACTCAGAGTCAGTTACCGTGGTAACTTACTCTATGAACCTAACCTGGTCAGGAGCAGGTTTTCTTCGGTAAACCCAGAGTTTCTTATGGTATCCTCCCCCTTTTTAAAGCGCAAGCGATGTTTAAATACTTCATTCATTCATGCATGCCGCAAAAATGCTTTTCTTACTAAGTATTTTTTTCTTATTTCAAGCACAAATATCAAAAAATTATTTTGCAAATGGAAAACAAGATTATTCGGAGTGTCTATTACTACCGTATTGACCCGAATATAAGACGATGTTTTTTTCTTGGAAATACATCTGAAAAAATGCGGTCGTCTTATATTCAGGGTCTAGACTTTGACATGTCAATAATACACCCACAACAATAGGTGGCGCCAAATACGCATAAAACAAGTGTGCCATGAAATACGTAATGTAATGCATGTTGTAAAGGTTGTAAAGGCTACTATTAGATGGATAGCCCCCTCGGGCCCAATCTGGCCTGCCAATCATCTTCATCTCGCCCAAGGGAAGAATATGAGGGTAGAGGTTGACCGATTGATTGGCCGGCCGATTTTTGGCATTTTTTATTTCTGCCAATTGTGCTGCAAATTAGGCCGATTTATAGGCAGGTGCATCTGCGGGCAGCTAAGCGTTGTTGCGGAACGCCGTACCGGAGAATCTCTCTCCCTCTGGCTGCGTGAGACGGAGCAAGTGAAAAAGTAAGTATGTTAACCCTGAAATGAGGGAAACTCTGGGTTTTCCGTTTCAGAATGGGAGGTGTCAAACCCGAGAAAGCAGGGTAAGTCAAGCCCGTTTCTGAAAGGTAACAATATATTAAGGCCATGCTTTATTTTATGTTACCGTGGTAACTTACTCTATGAACCTAACCTGGTCAGGAGCAGGTTTTCTTCGGTAAACCCAGAGTTTCTTATGGTATCCTCCCCCTTTTTAAAGCGCAAGCGATGTTTAAATACTTCATTCATTCATGCATGCCGCAAAAATGCTTTTCTTACTAAGTATTTTTTTCTTATTTCAAGCACAAATATCAAAAAATTATTTTGCAAATGGAAAACAAGATTATTCGGAGTGTCTATTACTACCGTATTGACCCGAATATAAGACGATGTTTTTTTTTACTCAGAAAAAACAAGATTTGGTTTTTAAAAAGCCTTTTCCCAAAAGGTACATCTGGAAAAAGGGGGGTCGTCTTATAATCAGGGTCATCGTATATTCGGGCCAATACGGTAAGTGCAAATTTACAGTAGCTCCGCCCTCCAATGTCACACAAGGTTAAGTATACGAGGTACGGTTTCAGTAGTGTAGGCAGTAACGTGTTGGGTGCGGAGAACTAGCTTGTGACGTGATTGATCGGGTTCGAGTCCGGCTTTTGCCGAGCTCGCTCTTCTCACTTTTCCCATCACATATCACATTAGAATTTATTTTCAATAAAAATTAAGAAAATGTTCTGAAAGTGGAAGTAAAGTGCCTAACGGGTGTTTAATAATGATAAAAGTATTTATAATTGTAATAAATATAATTATTTACACTGTTATTATTGCATCCTGTACAACAATACTGAGGTGCAAATAGTATGTATCCGCCAGCATAAAGTATAAATAGCATCTAATTATTATTTACACTTATTGCAAAGAACTGCTACTTTTACATGGTAAATAGAATATATCACTATTTTCACTATAGTGTAAATAGCATCTAGAGCTATTTGCACTTAGCCTACTGTAAATAGGATCTATTGCTAAAAAAGTGTTAATTCCACTTAGTGTAAATAGCCACTGCCGTAGTTTTCTTACGCTATTGGCAGATCATTTGCAAAATAAGAAAAATGCACTTAAATTGTTATTATTTTATATATTTTTTTTGCCCGTGGGATACCATGAAAATGAATAGCCTATTAGTTCAATAACCTACCGTTCTGCCAGTTTTCACCGGTGATATTATAACAGTGATAAGAATTAAACTTGTATTGACTCTGTCTGAAGTATGCAGATGTCTTTTTGGCGGGAGCTGTTGCCATGGTGAATCGTAACATCGGAGCTCTATTGATCATGACTTCTCATAGTCGTGGTGCACGCGCTAAACTCAGAGTCAACCTACTCAGAGTCGATTGAACTAACTCAATTCAGCTGATCTGAAACCGAAGACTCAGAGTTTCCCATCTCAGAGTTCAAGTTTTAACTCAGAGTTGGTTGAACCTCCTTATTGGGATAAGGACATTTAAAATCATCACTTTTACTCAAAATTTTGACCAGAGCTCGGCAAAACTAGTCAAATGTATATTCATCATAAAAAAAAACTTTGGCGTTTTAGTATTTTATGAATTTCTATGACTGTTCCAAGTCTATACAATTTACACTGTTTACACAATATACAATGCAAGTTTTATCTGAGCAACTTAAAATAAGATCATGATTTTTAGCTGTTTGAACGTGTTTGTTTTGTCTTATTTTAACTCATCTTGAGGGTGTCTGGCTGATTGAGAACCACTGAACCACGGTGTGTGTTTCATGCAGTGTGTGTGTGTGTTTTCACAGATATCGACGAGTGCCGCATCTCTCCTGATCTGTGCGGTCACGGCACGTGTGTGAACACAGCCGGGGATTTCCGGTGCGATTGCTTCACTGGATACGAGAGCGGCTTCATGATGATGAAGAACTGCATGGGTGAGATGCACTCACACACTGCTTTTCAGAAAGTTTGACCGGTTTAAGATTTCGATTTCAGTGACATTCAACCTAAAAATGTAACTACAACTGATCGGACGCTATCAGTGCTCCTGCAACACCGGCTACAAATCCACCGAAGACAGACTCTCCTGTGTCGGTAAGACACACGGATGCTCGCCCAAAAATATTCACTTTCTCACCCCAGTAAACTAAAAAGAAGAAGTCTAGAAGCTGAAATGTTCTCTATGTGCACTATATTTACATTAATACTCCCTAAAGAACATTTATTACTGAGACGTGAACCCTTCCCATTATAAACCGGCCCTAAAAATTGATCTTTGAGTGATCCTGATCATTACATATGGATTCTAAGAAACAATAATGTGCAAAATTATTATATATGTACATTATATGTTCAGAGAGCTCAGATGTTTTTGTAAACATCCATATAACGCAAAATATGTTGTGCATCATGACAAAAAGATGCCACTGTGATTAAACCAAGTAAAATAATATGTGACCTGTGCTGGCAAAATTAGTCATAATGAGCAAATTTTCAAAAATTAGTTATTTATATTTTTTATAGCGATACAGCGATCTTTTCTGTTATTCTTAGACGGACTATATATTAAAACCTACTGTACTGCACGGATTAATGCATGGATCTAATATAATGTTACACATCAGATGTTTTCCTCAACAGTTCCCAAAACGTTCACTTAAGACATGACAGATTATGCTTGCGTCAATACTTAAATACTGTGTATATGTGTATATTTATATTAAGGAGCGGAGAAAAGGTGCTCCTCTCAGAAAACGTACAAATAAAGATAATTAAACATCTAAAATTATTATTTGGAGCATTGGGATCACTAGACGAGGGCTTAATGAACTCATTTTTGTGAAAACCTCAAATTCGACCAAAATTTACATTTTTCATTTTCATTTTCACAGTTTTTGCGTGTAGCTCAAAATTAACCCGTGCACGACTCAATTTGCCAGCACGGGTCACATTTAAAAATCAGAGATTTTTTAAATGTTTTTGAAAGAAGTCTCTTATGCTCACCAAAGCTGCATTTATTTGATGATCAAAAATACAGGGAAAAAATTTATATTGTGAAATATTATTACAATGTAAAATAATGTTTTTATATTTTAATATACATAAATTATATTTTAAAGGATATTAAAATAGAAACTATTATTTTATATCGTAATAACATTTAGCAAGATTACTGTTTTTTTCTGTATTTTGGATCAAATAAATGCAGCCTTGATGAGCAGAAGAGACTTCTTTAAAACACATTACAAGTCTTACTGATCCCACACTTTTGAGCGGTAGTGTATATACAGTATATAACCAGTGGCAGCATTGGGAATCTCCCGGGAAAGGAAACACACATGCAGATCAACATACAGCAGCCATATACTGGAATATTCCCACGTCTGGATGCATATTATTACTGAGGGGCCAAGTATGGACTTTAAACAGAATCTGATGCATGTAAACGCAGTCAGTGACGTGTGTGTGTGTGTGTGTGTGTGTGTGTGTGTGTGTGTGTGTGTGTGTGTGCTCGCTTTATGACCCCTCTGT